AGAAGAAGAAAAAAAAGTATATATATATATATATCAAGAAATATCTTTCACTAACTTCGTCTACTCTCCTGCATTCCCCTAAAATGAACTAAAATGTACTACACGGTAACTACCACCACCTGGGCTGCCAAATGTCGCCATCCAATTAATTAGCAGCAAATGGCCCCTTCCTGTCGTTCTCTCCTTACTGTGCCGGATGCTGCAGCTTGCAGATAAATTTGGAGACGGAATTAGATAACTTATTAACTACTGCTCATTATAGACTTCATTCCTACGATAATTAAGGCCATTAACATCGCCATGAAACATTTGCGAACATTTGTAGTTGTCTTTTCTCATTCTCATTATTACTGTTAATAAAATTCGCCTCCTTTTTTTTCTCTCTTTCCCCTTCCCTATCTCCCTTTATTCTTCAAGCTCCCTTTTCCCACAGTTTCTCCCTCTCCCTCTCTCTTCCCTCCTTCCCCTCCTACCTTTCTTTTATTTTATCTCCCCTTTCGTATAAATGATAAATGTGCATAAACTGATGTCTAACTACTTCGTGTACTTGCCTCGTATAATTGGTTTCTTTCAGTTGTTATATTTTCTTTTGTGATTGTTATTATTATTGTTATTGTGGGTATTGTTATCGGTAGTATCATCATCATCAATCTAATTATTTTGTTGATATTTGTTATTATTATCTTCCTTGTTACTATTATCTTTATCATTATTTTAAATTATTATTATAATCAAAGTACTCCATTTTCATCATTGTCATGTCCAAAGCGCAGTTTTGTAAATATTTATATACTAGATAATTATCACAATTATATCTATTTCCCCCCCTTCTCTCTCTATATATTTCCTTCCCTCCCTTCCTCTTTCCCTTTCTCTCTCTTTCTCCTAATCCTTCCATTTTTTTCTCTCTCTTCCTCCCTCCTTTCCTCCCTTTCTCTTTCTCCCAATCCTTCCTTTTTTTCTCATTCCCACCCCTTTCTTCCCTTTATCTCTCTCTCTTCCTTCCTCTTTCTCTCTCACCCTTAACCTTAAACAAGAGTAATTTCGGCCGTTGATAATTTTGAATTACGAGGCAATTTATCCTAGTGTGAAAACAAGCTACTTTGGACGTTGAATAGACTCCTTTATGGCGTAGAAAGGGTGTGCTTACCTTTTTTTTTAATGGGGGGGGGGGGTAAGGGAGCTTCTGGTCTAAAGGGGAAGGGAAATGACTTTATCTATAGTGTGGGTGTTAGCATTTGATTGTCTTTATTGTTGCTGCTTTTTTGGGGGTTGGGGGTAGGGTTGGGGGTGGGGGGTAGGGTTTAATATATATATTTTTTTCTAATTTTTTTTTTTTTCTATTTTTCATGTTCTCTCTTTCTCTTGTTTACCCCCCCTTTGTCTTTTGGTTTGTCCGTTTACCTGCCTTTCTCTCTCTGTCTCTCTGTCTCTCTCCCTCGATTATTCTTTTTCCTCGCACTATCTCCCCCTTTCTCACCGTGTATATACTTTTCGAGGAGCCCATTTGAACAATATGTATAAAAATAAAATAAAGTATGAATAGTAACAACAGAGGAATTTATATCAACAAAGTGATTGTTTATACGCACGATCTATCTATCTACACACACACACACACACACACACACACACACACACACACACACACACACACACACACACACACACACACACACACACAAACACACACACACACACACACACACACACACACACACACACACACACACACACACACACACACACACACACATACTGACACACACACACATATATATATATATTGTGGGGGTTTATGCTGTTCACAACTCTGTTCTTTGGACGTGTTCATAAATAAGTGTTATCCAGCGGCAATATGGCTCTTTAGGGGTACATTCTTAGCCATTCACAATCTATAAGCTTCCCACAGGGAGAAATAAACTGAAGGTTATTTCAGAAACTCGCCATGAAAATAATATACAAAGCAACGAGAATAATCACAATAGACAAGGCAGAGTTGGTATTCAGTGAATTTTTTTGCTAATTAATGTGAGAGCTGACATGAAACATTATGAAACAAGATTACGATAATAATAATAAAAATAGTAAAATAGATAGTACTACTACTAATAACTTATAAACAGACAAGGATGATTATATATATATTTTTTTCTTTTATAAGTAGAATAAGACAGACTCACCTTACCTCGCAGTCTCGTTGGCAACTGCAAGGGACTCCGATCCTTATGTCAATATTGCTTGTGTTGACCCTCGGCGGCGCCGCTGAAGGGAAGCATCCGTCGCGCTGAGATCACATGATTAGCATGACATTTACACGAGGATATATGTAAATACATTCAAAATAAATATACATACACACACACATATACAGACACAGCAAGCGTATGTTATGTATATATATATATATATATATATATATATATATATATATATATATATATATATATATATATACATATATATATATATATATATATATATATATATATATATATATATATATATATATATATATATATATGTTATATATATGTATATATATGTATATATATATATATATATATATATATATATATATATATATATATATATATATATATATATATATATATATGTATATATATATATATGTATATGTATATATATATATATATATATATATATATATATATATATATATATATATATATATATATTTGTGTATATATATATGTATATATATGTATATGTATATATATATATATATATATATATATATATATATATATATATATATATATATATATATATATACATATATATATATATATATATATATATATATATATATATATATATATATATATATACATATATATATATATATATATATATATATATATATATATATATATATATATATATATATATATATATATATATATAACATACCCTCGCTGTGTCTGTATGTGTCTGTGCTTGTTGTGTATTTATATATATTCTCATGTAAATTTCATTCTAGCCATGCGCGAGTGTGTGCGTTTATGCGTGGGAATGTATCTGTATACAATTATACACATTAATTTACTTGCTTATTAAAGAGCGCAGTCGCATAAAACCTATGATGCAAAAATAATAACTTGATCCTCAGTCAAAGCTTCAATATTTAACTAAAGAAATTTCAAAACGGAGAGTCGGCAAATGGCCGCAAATGCAGTCTGTTTCCCTCGATTCCAATAGAGCGCCTCATTTTTTTAGATATCCAATTATCTGCATATATCCGTAGGTTTCGAAAGTAATCTTCTACAGTATTTTATATCTTTTTTTTTTTTTTTTTTAATCAAAATTTTATAATTCGGTTATATCTGGGGTGAAATATTGGTATGGTTATTAAAGTTAGGATGACTCTATTTAGATGAGATATATATTTTTTTCCTATCTGTATTTCTTTCATACACATATATACGCATA